TAATAATATAAAACATGATGCCTGGTGCCAGGTGTTGGACAAGTCATTAAGTCTAGTTTCCTTGAACTCTCCACATGTAAAATTTGAGTGACACCAGGAAGGTTGAGAATGGAGTGAAAATTCCAAGTTACCCAGTATCCTGAAGAATGCTGGTCTGAAAGACAAGAGGACTGGTGTCCTGCTCTCACCTCTTAAGTCACAGTATATTTTGCCCTTAAAGAACTAATACCTGGTCCTAACTAATCCCGGGATCCTTGGTCCCCTGTCACCTCCCCAGCTATTAGATTCCTCGCTGTTCTCATCCGTTGGCTGTTTGACACCTCTAGTCCTTGTCTCTTGGACAGTATGGCTTCAACTTTCTTTCATGGGGACAGTTCAAAGTCTAAATCTCCAACAGTAATTATCCGGACCTGAGTGTTGGTCTTTACTAACCAATGGAACATGTCCCATTGAATTTGCAAATTCAAAATCAGATTCATCAACTTTTCCCCCAGTAAATCTACCGCCCCCCTCCTCACTCCCTCAGGCACCCAAACCTTGGTGTTTTCGTTTGGCCATCTCTACTCTCTCCGTATATATGATGTCAATATAAAGACGGTGAAAAAGCTCAAAGAAAAGGGGGCCATGTACCCCCCCAAATCGAGTTCTGGCTCTGTCACCAAGCAGCCATGAGACTTTGTGAAAGTATTCTTTTCTAAATATGAAAAATCACGTAATAAATATGCGTTTCCAGGGTAGAAGTGATCCTAAGTACATCTTTAATACACTAGTGGGCATGGAGAGTAGAGCTCCCCTACCGAGAGTTGCTGCTCTCGATTTTCATGGGAGAACAGAATAAATTGCATTATTCATTCCAAGATTTATTAATTGGAAGTGAATTAATATATGACCATCGTGAGTATGAGAGAAGCATAAGCAATCTGAGAGGCAGTCCATGGGACTTCGGCAGGAATACACAGGCTTCTAAGATTCTCAAAGTGGGGAGCCTGTGTGGTCTTGCTGCAAGTCTGATCTCACCTCTAACCTGCACCCTAAGTGTAGGAATCTTCATCGTGGAGATGCTTAGCAAAGGGGGGGAGGAGCCAGAATGGCTGTGTCTAAATGGCCAAGTCAAAATGCCGATTGGGTGCAACGAACTGGCCGGTGTAGTGGTTTACTCCCTCCAACTCCACCCCTTGGGGCAATGCGAATTGAAATACTGACAATTTTAATTTTAGCTCAAAGGGTGTGTTAACTGGGTATAAGGTCATTACCACTTTCTTTGCAGTAACTGGCTCAGAAATGGGCAAGTGATACAGTTCTTGCGAATGAGATACAAAGGATCATTGGAGTTTCTAGAAGAATTCTATGTCCTGAGAGCAATCGGGAGGCAGCATCTGACAACCTGGGAGTGGGGAACCACAGAGCGAGGCTGTAAAGGTCAACAGCAAAGTGGAGAGGAAAATGATCCTGCATCATCTCCACAGAGTCCACCAACCATGAACCCATCCTGCCTCTGGACTTCCATAGTACATAAAATAATAAATTTCCTTAAGATTTAAGCCTTTTTGAGTTGGGTTTAGGCCAAAAGCATCCTAACATATACATGGAACGTATTGTCCTCTAGTTCTTTCAAATACGTGGTAACATGCCTCGTATGCAAGACTGAGGGCAGCCTATCTCAAGTTTCAAAATGTAATCACCTGAGGAGTATTGAAATGCAGACCCCAGGGGCCCACTCCCAGAGACTGAGCTCTAGGTGGCCAGATGCTCTTCATTGGTAACAACCCAGGTGGTGATGATGCGGAGTCCAGCAGATAAACTGCAGTGGTTAGCCCAATATTCACTTACCCCTTGTTTTTCACCAAAAACACCCAGATTGTAGTAAGGGTGGCAAAGTGAGGTGCCAGTTAAAATTCATCTTAAGGAGATAGGTTTGGGCACCTGACAGTGCTGGCCTGGGATGAGGTCCATTCCTGAAGAAAAGGCAAAACCTTCTTGCCCTACTGAAAAGCCAGTAGGCTGCCTGGGCGTACAAATGCCATTTTGCCAGCCTGAGGCTCAAAGTCCCAGGACAAGGACAAGGGCAGGGGCTGCAGCCTAGCTCCACGATGACTTCCTCAAGCCGCTGTACCCAGCCCCCTCTACCTATTTCCAGACATGCTGTTACCATAAGAAAAATGAAGCCCTTAATAGAATAAGTCACGGGGATGAAGGTACAGCGTAGGGGATACTGTCAATGCTACTCTAATAGCATTGTGTGGTGAGCACAGCATAAGGTTTAAAGAAATTGAATTGCTATGTTGTACACCTGAAACCAACGTAGCATTGTGTGTCAACATTTTTATATAATGATAGAAAAAGGAAAATGAAGCCTGTGTGGTTCAGTCCCAGTGGCCAGGTTCCTGTATCTGCAGCCACATCCAGAATTTGCTGACACGCTGGTAATCCACAGTCCACACTGAAATACTGCCCTATTATGCTAGGTGCCCAGAAGGTTCTAATAGTTAGGACTGACTTTTTCTCTCACCTTTTCTTCTATTCTTACCTCTATTCTGGTTTTCCATAAAGCAGAGAACTGAATATCCTTTCAAAATCTTGTTGAAATGAAAAGAGATGATGGATTCCAAATAAAATAAACAACCAGGCCATAAAACTAAACTTTATTTGACTTTTAAAAAGAAATTGAAAAGTGATACCAAACAGTATTATGCAATGTAAGATTGTTAATTTCTCCTAAACTTTGCTTTCAGTAACTAAGATGGAGAACATAGTTCCATTTTTCAACATTTACTAAATTGGGGAGGGAGGGAATAACTTTTCTCTGGAAAATGTTAGGGAGGCACTAACAACATATCAAACTATGGGTCATATGCTTCAGTCAGTAATATATTAATTGTACAATGCCCTTGATGACTTTTACTCTCATTGGTAGGCCATGAACTGTATTATTAGCCTGACAAATTTCTAAACATCTCAAGTAATAATGCGACTGCTTAAAATTAGAACTTTTACAGGAGTCCATCACTTCTGAAATAAACACAGCAGTTCACTGTTCCAGCAACTTTTAAGTAACCTCCTTGCCAGGTAATCGTTCGGCACTTGGGCCAGGAGGTTAGCTCAGTCTTTAACCTGACCCTGCATATCACATTAGCACCGTTAGTATTCTTTTCTAAAATGGGATCCACTTTCCAACTATACAAGAAACTCAAAAGCAAAATATTAGACGATGAGTGTTTCAGGAGGAACATTAACTATTAAATGCAATCAGAAAACTTACTGAGAAGTTTCTCTTTTATCATCCAGAACATTCCCTCTAAAAGATCTTCTATATTAAGGGCTCTGAGAGATACGTGTGCATTTCTATGCCATCAAACATCCTCTTGTGAAGACATACTGCGTTAATTCAGTAAGAGCAATCCGACAAAGGGGCGCCTCAGGAAAAGAGACGCAGGTGAGTTGAATTCCGGTTAACTTTGTGACCGATTCCAGGATAACTGGAAACCTCTTTCCTAAAAAACGAGAATTTTTTTTTTTTTTTTTTTTAAATAATGGGGCCTGGAAAAGACGGTGACAATGAGGAGTCAGTTAAGTCAGTTACTTGACTCCCAATTAGGTTTCCCATTTGTGAAACAGGGTCCTTTTAAGAAAGAGGAGAGGATGACCCTAGGAAGGCTGCCTAAAAAGAACTAAGCTGCTTTCTTTAAAGGAACCATAAATCATAAGCTTGGTCGATGTGACTTTTCCTTCCCCCAACAAACACTCTGTACACCACCCTGACTATCACAGATGACCGGGCAGGCCCAGAATTTCTGCTAAAATGATCTTAGGGTGACTCTCTGGTTGGGGCTGTGGTAGGCCACGGGACTTCTGAAACTGCCTTAGACGGCACGTCATTTTCCCTTGGGAAGCATGTTTATTTGGGGTGACTTCGCAACTGGAAGAGAGAGAGTGCTGAAGGGCCCTGAAGCCCATCCTGGCACCATGTACTGTTCCCTCGTCCACCTGTGCATTCACCTAGCTCACTATTGCCCTGTCAGAGTGGTCTTCTCCACTCAGCTGTGGACTCGGGCCCAAATGAGCTCTGTTAGGGACCCCTTGAGTAACTACTAGCCTTGCAGGTCCCCCACTCCCCAGACTTACCTCCACTCTGTCCTGGCCCCATGGGGCCAGCCCTCCCCTCTCCCACTCTACACATGCTGCCCAACACTTCTCAAGCTTTTCCAAATTGGCCCTGATTGCTGACAAAAGCAGGAAAAGGTGTCGGGGCAAAATTTCCGTGACTCTCCATAATAAAATGGTTTGACGTCTCCTGGTTTATCTTAAAAATTCATGCAAATTTGTCACCCTACTCCATAATATGCTTGTTTTAATATAGAACATTTCAAATAATCTAATGGTTAAATGAGTTTCCTCCTTTTAAAAGAACATCAAGTAAAAGTGGCTGGGTGATGGACATTGGGGAGGGTATGTGCCATGGTGAGCACTGTGAATTGTGTAAGACTGATGAATCACAGACCTGTACCCCTGAAACAAATAATACCTTATATGTTAATTTAAAAAAAAAGTGTGCTACTCTAGGAAGATTCCCTGGATCCACCTATGGCTCCACATAACCCGGACACAACACCCACAAATCCTCAGGGAATGCACACTCCAAACGGAGAGGCACAGGCATTTAGATGCTAATGTCTAATCCTGCGCGTGGCCTGACCCTCCCCATCCTTAATGTGCCCTGTAGATCCCCACTATTGAGCCATCACGGGAAGGAGGTCAAGAGGGGGGAAATTGGGAAGGGGGACCTGGGGCAAAATCACATCTTTCAAAAACATTGTATCATTTTAATTGTTCAATAATTCAGGTGAGGTTTATCCCAATTTTTTCGAATCAATGAGCTGCCACTAAGGATCTCTTTTCTCACCACCCAACCACCTACATTTTGCTACTCAGCTTCACAGCTCATTCCAGCTATGTAGTTTAATAGTCACAGTAAGAAAAATTGAATCCAAGTATCAGGTTTATTACCTCATTTTTTCTCTTCCAATTATATTCTCTCTGGGTCATTCGAAGACCAGTGTTGACTGAGCCAATCAAATACATGCATCAGACAGAAAAACTAAATTAGGAATTTAAGAGTAAAGGTAGCAGAAGAATATTCTGAAATATCAATTTGCTTTCTCCCAGTAGGTCTCCTCTTTCCCTTCTCCCCTTCCATACAGGTTCTTTAGTTTCCCGTTACTAGGCTCCCAAGAATCCCACGCAAGGGCTGACAAAGTCAAATGAGAACAGGCAGGTCACACAGACAAGGAAGTGGGCCGTATCTGAGACAAGAGGGCAGGGTGTGGACCGCGGCAAACTGCACACTGTGTGTTTCCCCCAGGCGCAGCTCTACGTGTTGCCACATACAGGAACGAGGACCAAGTGTTGGCACGCTTTCTGAGTTTTTCAAGAAAAGCTCAAAATCTGGATTTTTTTTTTAAATGTGAAATGTTTAGATATTCATACTCTGCAACTTAAATTTTTAAAACAAAACATGTATGTGGATCAAATCTAGTACATCAGCTGAGTCCAGTCCGTGAGCCTACGATATGTGGCTTTTGTCCCAAATTCACTGGGAAATACAGAGTGATATAGCACCATCCATCTAAAATGACTGATTGCAGAGAGCCTGAAGAAGGAGAGAGGCCTACAGGCCCAGGACAAATGGGGACCTGTGCCCTGCTTCCTGGCAGTACTAAGATCCTGACTCAGCAGCCCCGAGGGGGTTCACACTAGGCCCTGAGCTCCAAGCCCTGTCATAGACTCCGCTGCCCCAAGAGAACTATGGAAGCTGCAGAGAGGCGGACTGAAGACTATCTCAGAGTCTTCAGTCCGCCTCTCTGAGGGCTGGAGTAAGGATTATTTCAGCGTTCCCCAGCTTGAACAGAAGACCTGGAGCAGAGGGGGCTCCCCAAAATCAGGTGGTGCCCATGACCCCAGAACAGAGGTAGAAAGTAAGCCACAACAATGTCTGAGGTTGAATTTACTTCTGGGAGAGAAGTGGAATTACTTATTGAATGTCTTTCCTCCTCACAAGGGCAGAGACCTTGTTTGGCTTGCTCCCCATCTAGCACTGGGCATGGAGCCCAGCACACAGTGGGGCTGTATTTTATAAGAATTGTGCAAATGAGAAATGAGATATAAAATATTAATAAAATGTCACTTTCTGCACACGATTTGAAATCATGTAAACCCAACCCCCCCTTGAATTAACAATTCATGAAGAATTGCATGACAATGCAACGAGCTGGCCGATCACGTGAACTGGAAACGCCAGGACGGTGCCAATTGGAGAAGCATACTAAGGCTGACTGTTTTCAAGCTGGGGCAGTTGGGGAGATGACAACACGGCTTGGTAGAGCAGGAGCACTGATTATGAAATGAAGGAAGGGAATGCATTTTCTCTAGAGCAAGGCCTTCCTACCTCATCTTCTCGGTGTGCTGCTTAGCACCATGATACATGCAATGGGGCACTAATACACATTTAGTGACTGTAATTACTTAGTAACTATCAAAGTGCCCCTCAGGCTAGACAGTTGAGTTGTGGCTGTGACTATGGCTTGGAATATTCAAAGAGCAAGGGTCAGGTTCCATATTCCCTTTGGTTGTTGGGAGCACACAAGCTCGCCACACCTGGACCCACTGTGAGTGAGTCTCTGTCCTTCCCGTTCTTGCTCTGCCCCCAACAGCATTCTGTGAGTCCAGCCTGCCAGGACTGGAACAGGGTACAACACAGAAGCTACTCTCTACCAGCATGGGTGTGAAGGAAGGGACAAGAGAGAGAAAGGAGCCACCTGGATTTCAGTGTCTGGAAGACTCTGATGGATGACCTCCCAGAAGCAATATGGCAGCCAGGGTGGGCCCAAGGATGAGGACTGATGATAAACCCACATAATACCCTCAAGTCATTTTCTTAGAATTAAATGAGTTTTGCATGGTTTTCCTACCACTGACGGGCTACCCCTTACCCATGACTTTGGTGTCATCAGTATTTTTGGCAGGCTCAGATGCTTGCACAACCAGCAGCTTGCTTAAATCTGAAGTTCCCTGAACCTAAAGGGAAAAAGTCAAAAGTAGTCAGAAGAGCATCCTTTGATCTCTAAGCTGCCTCCTCCCTAATGTTTTCAAAGAATATAAGAAATAAGCCAAACCCAGAACTGGGCTTCCAGCCTAAGCTCTCCATCTTTTTCATTTCAAATCCCCTTTAACGTTGTTTCAAGAAGTCTTGGACCAGAAAATTATCTTCTGTGTTATTTATAGACATCAGAAAGGAACTCTCTACACCTTACTTATAACCAGACCAGACATTTCCAGCTTGGAAAACAGGGAATCCCTGACACCTACGGAGTTACTTGTACCCCGACGCTGATGTTCAAAGGCTCAAGGCCCAGGCTTCCCAGGTGGCAGAACTGTCTTCTTTTCTTAGAGCTTTTGCCCTGTGTGCCCACCAAAATCTGCCCTCCCGGAAGGCAAGGAGCATACAAGTGATATAATTGTAACTCTCATCTCTAGAGACCAGATACTGTCTCCCTGGATCCTCACAAGAACTCTACCGATGGGCAGCTGCTGTCAGCCTCGTCTCACTAAAGGGAAATGGAGGGTCAGAAGGCAGCTTGCCTTTGCTCACACACTAGTGGGCACAGGGCTTGGGCTTGAAACCCAAGTAGGCCTGATTCCAAACCTTGGTGTCTTAAACCAAACTGTGAGCATTGTTCCTGCTATTCCCTGCCTCACCCCCACCCCTAGCTTCAAAGCTAAAGAGATTTTCATTTTCTACTGGAAAAGCCTCTAGATTACTGTCATCCTCTGAACTACTGAGAGATACAAAGATAAGAATGCTACAAGAGGGACAAATGCACCCCCGTCCCTCGGGAGGCACAGCCCCACTCCAGGGCAAATGGCTTGGCAAGCAGAGAGCAGTCGGACTCCAGCCCCCTGTGCCCCCTGGGTCTCACTCCTGAATTGGGCACAAACAGCCCAGGGCATGTTTGGACTGTTTTGTTAAAGGTGGTGAAAACTACAGGATCCTTCCAGGTTACATTTCTTTTTAAGGTGGTCAGTTGAGTTTTCAAGTCATTTATAGGGCACCATGGAAAGCAAATTACTCCCTAGAAATAACTGTCCTTACCTGCTCACAGGTTTTAGGCAAAATGCAAGGTGCAAGATAGGGTAACTCTGTCTTAGTATCAATGACACTACCATACACAATAATAATGAATTTCATGGTTACATTATCAATAGTCATTTCATTATAGCTTGATAAAGTCTCCACGTATGCCAGATTGGATGCCACACACTTCTGAAAGTCCAAGTCCTACAATAAAATTACATTTTTTCTATAAATCATGCCAAATGACACATGGAATCAGGAAGAAAGCACATTCACTGATTGAGCTGAGTTCTTTGAGGGAGTCAAAAGGCATTTAGACCGTAGGACCAACAGACAGAATTTATTTAGAGTTCAGAATGACCTCAGACAAGATCATGAACTCAGAGTGTTTATGTTGTTAGTATTAGTGGCCCTGGTTATGGATGCCCAGCCTGATTCACAGGTTTGCCTGAGCTCTCAATCAGCCTCAGCAGGTGGTCAGCTACGCCTTGTGGATTTGGTTTTACCTGGCAGTAAGTGAACACCCTGCTGGGCAAGTGAACAAACAATATCAAAAAGCCAAAACAAAACAAAGCAACACACTGAGTCTGAGTCATACTTTAAGGCTCAGGATAATAGTCTTTAGAGGTGGAAGGAAGATGTTATGTATGGGTTGAATTGTGTCCTCCCCCCAAAAAATTAATATGTTGACGTTCTGAGCCCCGGTACATTAGAATGTGACTTTATTTGGAAATAGGGTCATTGCAGATGTAATTGTTTAAGTTAAGACGAAGTCATACTGGAGTAGGGTGGGCAAATAATCCAATATGACTGGTGTCCTTATAAAAAGGGGAAGAGGTGCAGGGGTGACTCAGTCAATTAAGTGTCTGACTCTTGGTTTCAGCTCAGGTCATGATCTCTGGGTCAGGAGATTGAGCCCCGTGTGGGACTCCATGTTCAGTAGGGAGTTGGCTTCCCCTCTCCCTCTCCCTGTGCCCCTCCCCTGCTTGTGCTCTAGCGCACTCTCTCTCTCTCTCTCAAATAAATAAATAGGGGAGATTTGGGGGCACCTGGCTGGCTCAGTCGGTAGAGCACATGACTCTTGATCTCAGGATCATGAGTTCAAGTCCCACAGTGAGTATAAAGCTTCTTTAAAAAAGGGGAAGTGAGGGATGCCTGGGTGACTCAGTCAGTTAAACACCTGCCTTCAGCTCAGGACGTGATCGCAGAGTCCTGAGATCAGAGCCCCGTATCAGGCTCCTTGCTCAGCGGGGAGCCTGCTTCTCCCCCTGCTTGTGCTCTCTTTCTCTCTCTTTCTCTCTCTCTCTCTGACAAATAAATAAATAAAATCTTTAAAAAAAAAAAGTGGGGGGAGAGATTTGGACACAGACACACATACAGGGAGAACTCCATGTGGGATGAAGACAGTCATCTGCAAGCCAAGGAGGAGGCCTGGACCAGATTCCCTCCCTCGTTGCTCCTAGTAGGAACCAACCCTGCTGACACCTTGATTTCTTGCCTCAAGAACTGTGAGACAATAAATTTCTGTGGTTTAAGTCACCCAGGTTGTGGTACTTTGTTACAGCAGCTCCAGCAAACTAATACAGGCATACAGGCATTTAGAGGTCAGTCCCATGGTAGGAATCTTCCGGACAGTGCCCTCACTCTGAACATCTCCATTCACAACTATACGACCCAGCCCTCGAACCTGGGTCCCTAATGGGAAAACTGAACACCTACCCGCTGAAGGCACCAGCTCAGCTGAGGCATGAAAAACATAACTAGCAAATACCTAAATTTTGGAAGGAGAAAAATCTAAAAAAAATAAAGTATTTTGGTTTTTAAATGCATGTAAATTTTGAGTTATATGGTTTAGAGGAAGGGTTGCAGTATAAGCTTATCAGTGATTCTAATCCCCTTTTCAGGGGTTCTAAAAAGTCTTGTCTACTTCTTTGATGGGAAAAGACTAGAAGGAAATAAGCCAAAGTGTTAAATAAAGATTCTCTGGGTTCTGGTAAGCATCTGCCTTCAGCTCAGGTCATGATCTCAGGGTCCCGGGATTGAGTCCCAGGGTCAGGCTCTCTGCTCAGTGGGAAGCCTGCTTCTCCCTCTCCCTCTGCCACTCGCCCAACAAGTGTGCATATGCACTTCTCTCTCAAATAAATAAATAAAATCTTTTTAAAAAATGAAAGGGCATTCACCTTATTATTGAGTCAAATCTATCTCCATACAATTTCGACCTGTTGGTCCTAATTCTCTCCTCTGGAGTTTCATACTACACCCATACTAGACATACTAAATGTGTCCCACTTCTCACGAAGAGGCAAAGCAAAGAGAAGAATCTAAATCTTTTTACCCTTCTGCTAAAATTTTTCTGAAAATAATTGCCACATAGTTAAAGAAACATGACTTCCTTAAAACAACATTTTCAACTTCTTTTTGTTAAAAGATTTTGTTTATTTGAGAGAGACAGACAGTACAAGTGGGGGGAGGGGAGTGGCAGAGGGAGAAGGAGGCTCCCCACTGAGCAGAGAGCGGGACACCGGGCTCGATCCCAGGACCCTGAGATCATGACCTGAGCTGACAGACACTTAACTTACTGAGCCACCGAGGCACCCCAAGTTTTCAACTTCTTTGGATAAATATCAAGGATACTGATTACTGGATCATATGGTAAGAGTATGTTCAGTTTTGTAAGAAACCTCCATACTTTCTAAAGTGGCTCTACCATTTTGCATTCCTACCAGCAATGAATGAGACTTCCTGCTGCTCCATATCCTGCAGCATTTGGGGTTGTCAGTGTTCCAAATGTTGGCTATTCTAATAGGTGCATAATGGAATCACATTGTTACATTGTTCTGAGGACATATGATTATAGAACATGTTTATTTGCCATCTACATATGTTTTTTGGTGAGATGTCAAGATTTTTGGCCCTTTTTTTTTATTATGTTATGTTAATCACCATACATTACATCATTAGTTTTTGAAGTAGTGTTCTATGATTCATTGTTTGCATATAACACCCAGTGCTCCATTCAATATGTGCCCTCTTTAATACCTACCACCAGGTTAACCCATCCCCTCACCCCCCTCCCCTCTAGAACCCTCAGTTTGTTTTTCAGAGTCCATAGTCTCTCATGGTTCGTCTCCCCCTCTGATTTCTCCCCCTTCATTTTTCCCTTCCTACTATCTTCTTCTTTTTTTTAACATATAATGTATTATTTGTTGCAGAGGTACAGGTCTGTGATTCAATAGTCTTACACAATTCACAGCACTCATCATAGCACATAGCATCCCCAGTGTCTATCACCCAGCCACCCCATGCCTCCCACCCCCCACCACTCCAGCAACCCTCAGTTTGTTTCCTGAGATTAAGAATTCCTCATATTAGTGAGATCATATGACACATGTGTTTCTCTGATTGACTTATTTCACTCAGCATAACACCCTCCAGTTCCATCCATGTCGTTGCAAATGGCAAGATTTCATTCCTTTTGATGGCTGCATAATATTCCATTGTATATATATACCACATCTTTATCCATTCACCTGTCGATGG